GCCGACGTAATTAAAACAAGGATCAATCTCATTGTCCTGCTGGATACTACAAAGTTATGCCCCTTTAGTTCGGCTCTGTGAGTGTCGGATCCGAATCCGCCTATGGGTGTTGTTATTCACGCTTTTCTGGACTTAAATAGTGCTGAAGTTCGATTTTTACATGAAAATGTGAGTTCTACGACACATTTTACGAGGAAAAGGATAGTATATTTAAAGCAGCTAAAGCACCAAAGAAATTCCTGAATGACCCAATCATTAACGAAGTTTGTTTGCGAAGACTAAACCATATCTTAGTACATAGCTCTACTCCAATCTGGTCCAGGATTCACCAACCCTGGCTGTTTCGTCTGGCGATGACTGGACTCTTCCTGTTTATTTTCTCAAAGGCAAAACAGTTATGTCACTCGCCAACTTTAAGTAACCAATGTATTACTGGCAAACGTTAAGACCGCGAGGTACGCGTATTTCTGGGTAATTTCCCTTCGGCAGTCGCGGACACCTGACTCCAGTATAGCCACAGAAACTGCTGCCACACTCGAGTTTTGAACCCGGGACCAGTGAGCTAGAGACGAACCACAAACCATATGTATATCTGAACATCTTAGCGTAACTTTTCGAGGATGTAATATAGGTGCGAACAGTTTTCTTGATAGATTCGATGGATATCAATTCCGAATATAGGAAAAATCCGATGTGATTTAAGTTTCAGAACTGAATTCGAAGCTTGGAAATATTCATAGAGAGTAATCACCCGTCCAAAGTAGAGACTCCAGGTGGATGTGAAAAATGGATACAAAGTACATCCAACAAGAAAAAAAACAACCTTTAGTTACTGATACTCCAGAAATCCACGAACTTGCCACTCGTTTGTTTGTTATGGTCAGTATCTACAAATTGCGTATGATGGCGCAGTTTTGAATTCCGGTCTTTGAATTTTTTTTGGTTTGCATGTTTCCTGCCTTTTTGTCCTTTGTCGATGGATAGGTAAATCAATCATATGTCAACTTCTATTTTTTGCCAAGGTTTTCTTCTTGCTCTTTTGAGAATTCGTTTTTAAATCAAACTAAATCCACATCTACACCACAACCCCACCGACATGATCATTCGGATACCGGCTACGAGTCCTTATCTGTCATTTCGGAGAAGTCAGCGCGTGCAACAGCAGAAGGCTCATTCTCTGCCTATGGATCTAGTTGTCTTAACTCTCCACTCACTACGTCCTCTAAATGGATGCGGGGACCTCCCGGGAGGTACGTATATTATTGATGCTTTATTTCACGCCTTTTCAAGATATGTTGGGAGACGGTTCCTTGATATAATTGGTGAAATTTTTGTGTATGACAAGTCTGGGATGCTCCTTCGTTCTATCCTCAAATTCCTTGACGTCCGATCCCTTAAAATGATGCGCCTTACCTCTAAATTATGGCGGAAGATTGTTTCAAGTTATCTGGCCGGTCAAGGCTCGGTGAAAAGACCAGCACTTTCCAATGAAATGGTATTAGACAAAGAGAACACGCAGTGTCAAACCCCGGGAAAGGAATTTGTGACACCTCGGGGCGTTCTGTCTTCTCGGCAGCCACACGAAGGCAATAACTTACTCCGAGAAATATTAGTTCCCTCAAATCAACTTAATCCCGTCGTTACAGATTGTTGGAAGGTACGTCAGTGTGCGAAGTATTTATTCTACGTTTCCTTGTATTACGCCTACACTTGTCTTTGTATCCCTTAGAACTTATTTTTTATGAATGAATTAGCATTGTAATACTTGACAAATAAATTTGAGGGTCAACGCCTAACAATCCTTCGCAAAATAACTCAGATTCCTCTTCACACTATCAGGTAGTTAATCCTTGTTTATCAGTCCAGTAAAATACGCATGTATAACTTCAGCATAGCTGGTCACATTTATTTTTAATTCATTACTTGTGCATAGATATGTAGTAATCTAGGAATTGCTTGCATTTCCACCTCCAATTATATGGTGGACTGGCTGCGCCCACCGTGTTAGGTATTTTCAAAATACACAAAGTATACGTAATTTGCACCCGAAAAACCTCTGTTTCTTACACACTCGAGTGTTAAATCCAAACTTTTTGTTACTGGCTAAAATGTGTTCCTCTCATAATCAATATGCTGCCAATTAATATTGGAGACAGGTGAACATGCATTTGTCTCTCATATTGAAGAACTTAGTTCTTTACAACCAAACTGGAGTGGATGAAACCTAGCGCGTTGTTTTTCCTGACGCGTCCATGACATAATGTTCCTACACCGGTTTGAACCGCTGCCACTGGAACTGTTAATTAACAACAGCCGGACATGGGCAATTTGGCAATAGTTCAACCGTCTATAGCAAATCTTTTCCAGCCAATCTCCTATTTACTATAGGAAATATTTCTCAATAAAACAGCTCTACTATGTTTCCTAAACCCCATCCAACACAATCATCTTTGGTAGTCGCTGTTATGACCCGGCTTAACTAATTATAGAGACAACCGGTTTAGGTACGACTAAATTCAAAAATGACTGGCGGTCCAAACGACCACAACTGCTAATAGAGTGCCATAGGTTTAGTTTGAGGATTAGGGTGATTTGATAAGTTTGACGGAACTGGTTGTCCTAAATTTGACCAGGTGGTCAGTTAAAAACATGAGCACTTGTTTGCTTTATCATATGATGTCCTACATAGTGTGGTCTTGAGGTAGCACCCCTAGTACGAGCTTGATACCTAGGGGTTAACAGACGGGTTGCCTGACCATTTTCGTATATAGTTGTCTGCTAAGTACGCGTGCCATTGGTAACTTTTTATGCATCCCGGTTATCTCTAGAAACTCATTGCCTATGAGGCTACAGAATGTCGAATCTCACCTGTTGAAGGACAGGCCATTTAGACCTTCCTATGCCAAGGGCCGCTGTATCGGGATTAAAGATGGTGAAAGTATACACCGGCTGTGCCGATCTTCCTGATTCCCTAGATTATCTTGTAATTCGTGAAACAAATGGATAATCACGTATCCTCGGATCAGTAGCGTCATTCCATCGCGCGTTCAGTAATTGGTGGACGCTAAAATTATGCGGTGCTTTCGTCTAACACTGCTCACCGTACCTAACATGTCCTTTTAAACTCTCAAATTCACTAAAAAAACTCGACGTCAGCCCGTTTTCTTTACTTTAGCGCCCAGCAATGACTTTTTAATCAGCCTATTATTTTACTCTTAGGTCGCCGAAACTTGTGTTGGTCGTGAGGTAGTCAAACGCTGTCCAGTCTGCTCGGGTTTCGCTATTCGTCGCGAAGGCACCTGGCCTGATCAGCTGACTTGCCAACAAGAGGGTTGCCGGGCCGTTGTTTGTGCTGCGTGTTTCCAGAAACACAGCCCCTCCGCAGATTGTCCTCCGTCGGTTTTACGTAACCCCAGGTACGTCGTTTTGGTTGCTTTCATTTACTTATCCCATGACATTTGTTTTTTCTTCTCCATAATCATCTCTACTTTTCGCTTTTCTTCGCCTGTAGCACCGGACGTGTTGAAATATCCAGCGAAACAGTCACTCCTCTTCCCCGTGCGGCCGTTCGTGCGTCTCAGAGGCTGCGTAATCTTAAGACACCGAAAAACAACCGTGCTCTTTTGCGCCGACTCTAAAGCAGAAGGCCAGTGGACCTGGCTTCTGCTCATACACCTCAGTGCTTTCATGCCAAACTTTCTATCACCGCCGTTGTGCATTTAACATGTGTTGCCTTTGTTGTTTTCAACTTTTTACCTTTTTAATTGCATTTATAACTGGGCTTTTATTGTGTTCAAGTTCTCACAACCCATTCTCCTTGCCCCCTGCACTTATGACGTGTACATACAATTCCACTTTTCTTGTTGCAATTCTTAAGTACAACTTATTTCCTACTACTGTCGTCTTTGCGTCAAAAGTCGGTAAGGGATGACCCACTGGTGAATTCAAAACTACATAACTGTGTCACTCCTAGGAATGGGTGAAAATCTTGTCTGATCTTGTAAGTGTCCCGTCTGAAAGAGCGTAGGGAAGCATATCATCATGTAGGCCGAATTCTTTATTTTCTCTTACAAAGCAGTAGTCTGCACTTGTCTCCCACTCAACTTTTCGACTGACTGATATCGACTATGCCGACGATATCACCCTGCTGACCT